TGGTGCTGCTGGTGCTGCTGGTGCTGCTGGTGCTGCTGGTGCTGCTGGTGCTGCTGGTGCTGCTGGTGCTGCTGGTGCTGCTGGTGCTGCTGGTGCTGCTGGTGCTGCTGGTGCTGGTGGTGCTGGTGGTGCTGGTGGTGCTGGTGGTGGTGGTGGTGGTGGTGGTGGTGCTGGTGGTGGTGGCGGCTGCGGCGTCAGTGGTGGTGGTGGTGGTGGTGGTGGTGGTGGTGGTGGTGGTGCTGCTGCTGCTGCTGCTCCGTCCACTACAACTACAACTACCACAGCAACAGACGTAACCACAAACACAATCGCAACCACAACCACCACCCGCCAGCAGCAGCAGCAGCAGCAGCAGCAGCAGCGGCAATAGCGGCAGCAGCAACAGCAGCAGCAATGGCTGACGCTTCTGACGCTACTCCCACTACTCCTCTCACTGCTGCTCTACTACTACTACTACTACTACTACTGCAACAACAACAACAGCTGCTGCTGCTGCTGCTACCACCACAACAACAACAACAACTACTACTACTACTGCCAGTATTATTTCTTCTTGTCAAAGCAATCTGAGGCGTTCTTGTCAACTGCCCTCTTAGGTTAGAGGCATGTTCATTGTACTTCCTGTGTGTTCCGGTGCTTATGAGGTCTGGCAGCATGCCGACTGCGGGCCTTGCGCATCGGGGCAGATACAGTGATGGTGGACGGCGAGGCTTGCAAGCTTCTGATCCCCTTCGGCCTTGTTGGGGTTTATGACTTGGGGTTCAGGGTGCTGAGGTCTAGTGTTGATAGGGGCCTGGGCTTTTTCAATTTGGGCTTTCAGGGATCTCGGTGATGAACGGGAGGCGTGCGAGCTGCTGAAGTGCTTGAACGCGGCCTCCGCCCTTCAGTATGCGCAGAGCAAAGAGGTGATGGTGATCGAAACAGGGGCGTCCTGGGAAAGGATAACTTAGTACGCCTTGCATCTGAGCTTTCTCTAGGATGTTTTTTGTGGGAGTCGAAGCAGAGCTCCCGGAGAAGGTGTGCTGTCGTCCGCAGGTCTATTCCAAGCACTGCTCCGACATCCTCTATGCCACCATGCCGATGAACCTGACATATCAAGGTTGGGTGTCTCAGAATGAGGTTCCACCTGTGTGTGTGTGTGTGTGCACAGGGGCGCATGCTTGGAGGCCTGGAGGCACAAAGTAGAAGTGGGTAATCCTTTGCATCATTAGCCTAGCAGAGACCAGCGGCAGCGAAGCGCAACCACGTCATCAGGAGTTGCGCAGGAGTTGCGGGCCTTGCCGAGTCCGTCTCTACGGAGACAGAACACAACTCGCGTCTTGCAAAGATCAGCACTCTTGAGATCCAGATCCCCCTCGTCTTTCTCGACCTGGGCGTCTTTGACCCCTCATTAGCTATCAAGTTCCCAACTCCCCGCGCAGATGCCCCCATTGGTTTGCCTGAGCTCACCGATCGTGTTGTCGTATCCCACGTTGTAGCCTGCACAGTCCTTGTGGTCTGGAACCATTCTCTGAGGTTCATGGATGTATGAGAGAGTCTACTAGAGAGGGATTATGCAACTAACAATGCAATGTCTGGAAAACGCGAACTCCCTCTGGGGTCTGGGAAGGTGGCAGCGGACTGGCGATCCCAAAGCATGAGGGACAGGAGACATGCTCCAACGTGTCAGACTCCTCAGAGTGGCTCGAGAACGGTGAGGAGTCGGGCTCTTGTTGTGCACGGAAATTGCTGGGCTAGCAAGTACATTATGGTATTTGGCATGCAAAACACCAAAATCCATGAAGCACTGGGCGCATGAACTTGGAGACCGGCCCTGGATCATGAGCCATAGATTCCAACATATTCCAACGATTTCAAATCTTAGCCCAAACTCCGTGGAAAGGCAAACCTTGGCGAGGACCCCCCTACTTGCTGGGAGCATTCCGAGGGCTGGCGCTTCATCTCCGTGTCTGGGATGTACGTTGCGGGCTTTTTTGATCTTCCTTTCGGGTTTAGGACAGAAGGGATGAGAAGGGTTTCAAGAGTGCAAACTGCCAGTCTATGAGCCGAAGCAAAGTTCGTAATCTCCTTATTGTTTGAGTGACGAGACACTGAAATCTGGCGGACCGCTTTACCTTGAACCCCAAACAGTTTCTGACCAACTTGTCTGTGAAGTGCCATAGCGAGTGATGACCTGACGTTGAGCCCTTTGGGGAGCGACGCCGGACAGCACCCTGACACTCTCTCACAGAAGGCTGCCGTCAGAAAGCCCTGGGATATTGAAGCGGTTCTGCTTGCATTTTGGTGTCACGTTGTCTTACTTCTCTTGCTTTCTTGTCTTTGCTTTGTCGATAGTGTGCCTAGGGTTCCCGGCCACCCCCGCCCCCCCCACCCTTGCTAGCGTCGTCATCTGTACAGTCTGTAGGCATCATCTTCTTATGGAGGGCTGAAGGTAGAGTTTGAAACGCAACTCAGGAGCTCATCGATCCCGACAAGCCATACATGCGACAGGCGAATACCTTGAAACACGTCCGGACTCTCCCGCCTTACAAGGACTTGAACTGAGGGCGGCGTGGGTTCTAAAGGGTTTTGACCATCTACATAGGATGATATGGAGGTATAAAGGGGTAATGGAAACTGCCCTCAGGTGTTTCAACCTCCGCTTAGGTGCTTGTAGTAAATCCTTATGAACTAAGTGGCGACTTTGGGGATATTTTTGAACGAAGTCAGCTGCAGCAGGACCTGGCTGCTTTCAAGACTTCCTTCTGGGAACCGGTGGTAGCGCCACTGTCGCAGGGCATTCCGAGCCAGTATCCTAATTCTCCGATCCCTCAATATGCAGAGGTAGAGTCGGAGGCTGAGCTGTTATCCCTTGGGATGCGAAGCATGGACTAAACCTCTCAATCCTAGACCTCTCAACCCTCAACCTGAAAAACCTGAGACTGAGGGCCTTAAAGCCCATCCGCATCGCTCTCCTGCGGAGCATCTACGGGAATGTCTCGGCTGCCGAGTCCCTGAAGGAGGTGCGAACTTATCACATTTGTCTAATTTGATTCGTCTTGCCCCTGCAGGATGTAAGTTCAAAGCTATGATGTTTTTCTCGAAGCCCCTTCTGGGGTTGGGTTCTCGTTTAGTTCACAACCGCGAGGGCTCGATATTGGTGCGGCGTTTCCAGCAACAGTAAAAAAGGACTAAACACTGCGCAGTGGGATCTTGTGTCGCGGTGGATGTGCGGTGGTGGTTCCGCGGTGGTGGATCTGCGGTGGTGGATATTTGACGGTGGATTTCTGCAGCGATGGATATCTACGGCAGTGGATATCTGCGGCGGTGGGCGGCGGTGGATATCTGCGGCGGTGGATTTCTGCAGCGATGGATATCTACGGCAGTGGATATCTGCAGTGGTGGGCGGCGGTGGATATCTGCGGCGGTGGGTATACTCCGCGGTGGATATCTGCGGCGGTGGATACCTGCGGCGGTGCATATCTGCGGCGGCAGATATTCGGCGATGGATATGTCGCTGCGGGTTGCGGGGCTTCCATCAAATTGGAGGTGCGCGATATGGTTTGCACAGGGGGGTTGCTGGACCACTGCACTCAAAGGGGGTGTGCGTGATATCGTTTGTGCGGGGGTGTGCTAGACCATTGCAATCAAAGGAGGTGCTCGCGATGTCGTCTGCGCGGGGGGTGCTGGACAACTGCAATCAAAGGGGGTGTGCGCGATATCGTTTGCACAGGAGGTTGCTGTGCCACTGCTGTCAAAGGGGGTGCGCGTAATATCGTTTGCACGCGGAGGGTTGCTGGACCACTGCAATCAAAGGGTGTGTGCGTGATATCGTTTGCGCAGGAGGTTGCTGTGCCACTGCTGTCAAAGGGGGTGCGCGTAATATCGTTTGCGCGGGGGGTGCTGGACCACTCCAATCAAAGGGGGTGTGCATGATATTGTCTGCGCGGGGGCGGTGCTGGACCATTGCATTCAAAACGGGGAAAGGACAGTTCAAGCTGCAACAGTGACCGTGAATCAACAACATTAAGTTTGCGCAGGGGTGTGCTAGACCATTGCAATCAAGGGGGGTGTGCACGATGTCGTTTACGCGGGGGGTGCTGGACCACTGCAATCAGAAGGGGTGTGCACGATATCGTTTACGGAGGGGCACGATATGGTCTGCGCGGGGGGTGGTGGACCACTGCCATCAAAAAGGGCGTGCGCGTTATCGTCTGTGCCGGGGGGGTGGTGGACCATGCTATCAAAGGGGGCATGCGCGACATCGTCAGTGCTGCAATCAAAGGAGGGCGCTCTATATCTTCTGCACAGGGGCAACACACTGGGATTGGACTGGCACCTGTAGCTGTTGGCCGTTCAGGTTGTTTTATCTCCCGGTTGGTTTTCAGGTTCCCGGCCTGACCTTGTTTCGAACCAAGTGGGGAGAAGCACAGATAAGCTTTACAACCGTCGCATCCTTTTCGGTGATTACTTCTCTATAGTGGTTGCTGAGATACTGCTAGTCAGAGCAATGGCTGCATCAGTTTCAGTGGAGGCCTGCGGCATCGTGGATGAGATCCTAAGGCCCTGCAACCAGTCGGACTGGGAAGCCTGGCTCAAGCAGAAAATGGAAGCCACTATAACGTTTGGGGATTTGGGTTTTAATTTAGGTTAGTCATATAGTGCAGAAGCAAATGGAAAAGACATTGAAACATGAAGTGGACATTTGCATTTAGGAATTCCGTTGCAGCCCTTGGCATCAGGACCCCCCAGCACATTGCCTTGTCATTTCGCAGTGGGCTGTGGTTGTGCTGGTTATTGCCAGCACTCAACCAAGCTAGTCATCCCAAGTGTACGCATGAATTCACAAGATGGTTGCCGCTTTATCCTCCAACCCAAGCCCCAAATCCCTAAAAATGTCTATGCCGCTTCTCCGAACACCTATAAGCCCTAGCCTAGACCCCAAAGCCCTGGAAAGCCGTGAGCCCGAAAGCGTCTCCAGCAGATGAGCCCAGGAATCGGATCCTCGGTGTAGGAATCCACGCGATGGGCTTCAGGGATGCCCTGCAGGGACCTTCTATCAGAATCAGGAGCACTTCCAGGAGTGCCGGATAGTGACGGGCTATGGGGCGATAGGGTCTATAGGGATTGAAAGGGATTGCAGGCAGGGTATTCAGGATACCTAAGATTCAGGATATAGGGGGTCGCGGTTTTCTGACCTGGTGATTCGTCCGGGTTAGGAGGGTACACGGGGATCCCAGTATTCTAGTCACTCGAACCCGAGATACAGGGGTCAGCTTGTGTTTGGGGTGTTTGAGTATTCTATGCTGGCTTTCCAAGAGAGCGTTCGCCGGTACTGCATCTGGCTGGGGTGCAAGCAGGGGCATGTCTCACCGAGCTGTCTGATCTCTTTTCGCTAAACTGCCGCTGAGATATGAATCAGGAAGTCTACTTGTAGTACTATGCGAAAAGCACTTGTGCTTCCCGAGCTCTCGAGTTTCAGCAATGCTTCTTTGTGGGTATAGCTAGTTCGGAGATTGAAGCCGTGCAGGACTTCGGACTGGGCTGCGCAGAATGTCCTCTGGGGCGATTCGCCGATGTGCGCTCGGTGGATGCGGAGTGCAAGCCTTGTGCATCTGGACTCTTGGGGCATGGTAGTTTTTTGAAGTTAGGGGTGTCTGAGCATTAGAATTGAGGAAATGTAGCGTTTAAGCTTTGTGTCTTTGGGGCCAGGATGGTTTTCGAATTCTTCCGGAACCACCTATTGCCAGCAGTGTGCTTTGGGTACAGTGGCCCAGCAGTCGGGACTGTCAAAATGCGCAGAATGCCCGGTTGGATTTGCGCCTTTCCATACCCACTGGTGCGATCCTTGCCCCGTGGCTACTTACCAAAGTGGCCCAACATGCCAGCCTTGTCCCAGTGGCTTCACCTCCTTAGAGGAAAGCACAAGCCCAAAAGCATGTACCCGCAAGATGTCAGTGGTCGTCTACAACCTGCTCCTTATTCTGGTGCTTGTTTGCATTGCCTTGCTTCTACCGCTGATGCTTGGGCGTCCTATCCCAATCTACGATATTTACATGGAAGATGGCTGCGTGGTGGTGAAGACCTGGGGGTCACATCGCATGTTCGGCTGGTCGCCGTTCCCTCTCAGAGTGCAACTGCGGGGCACCTTCCACCCCAAGGTCCGGCTTGCAAAGAAGCCTCCCTGCAAAGGACCTTGTAGTGTGTTGTATGTATCTCTACGGACGAAGGCGCTGCAATACTGATAATTCGGTAGTGAGCTTGATTTCAGGGCCTTTTTGTGCTTAAAAATGAAGTCGTGCGTCACGGAATAGGATGCAAAGTTATCAGCTCTGTGTGACGCCGCCCCCAACCCAATAAACTGAATAGACGAGCCACACATTAGATGGGCCATGTCTTCCATGAGTCCTACTCAGCAAAATTACAGTCGATGTGTTTGCTCCCAACCCAGTCAGAAAGTTCTGCCAATGCTGTGAAGTATTGATGGACAAGACTGGTATAGACTGGTGGTATATAGCTGCTGCAAATTTCGCCTTGATTGTTAACATGATA